TTTTTTTTTTTTTTCTAATCCTATTGTTCAATCACATGAAGCTCATGGTTTATTGGGATATTAAGAGTTTGGATGTTTATTCCTTTATGTTTATATATATAATCAAATATTTTTACAACATGCAACAAATAAACCCGAGAAGCGGGTTATGCAATCAAATCTACAATACACCAATTAACAAATGTGAGGTATCATCTAACCAATACTCAAAATAGGATTAAATCTAGCCTTAAAGCCCCAAATGACATTCACGGTAAAATGCAAGGAAGCATGAGAAGATTCTGGAAATTTAAATGTTAAATGTGATTATGGTTTGAATGAGATTGAACATGTAAATACTTATTCAACTCCATCTAAATAAACCATACAAAGCAGAAAATCAAATTTGGGCAAATTATATTTGCCACTATTAACAGGTCTGATTAGTAGTATTACAACTACTACAAACTAAGGCAATTCATTCTTAATTTTAAATGGGAGAAAAAGGAAAGAAAAATGCACAAAGAGCAAGAGATAGATTTTTCTATGAGATTGGCCTAATTGTAGGTTACCAATGTTTGAAGCAATCAAAATTATAGACATGGTTTTGTGCCGATTATAATGAAAAAGCTCATAAATGGATACTCAAACATGAGGTTGGTTCAATCAACAAGATGTTTAGAGAGTATAAAAAAGCATGGAAACAATATGGATGATCCATAATGTCACGATTAGACAGATGGCTGCGATAAAACTTAAATTTTTTTGTTAGCCCGTATAGTGCATGATTACAAAGGTATACGGAAGTATGGATGTTTTTTATGCTATTACAAATCTTGAACTATTATTAAATTATTTGGATGAAATTATTGAAAAAGTAGGCTGAAGGTTTGATTACAACAAATAATGGTTCAATTTACATGAAGTTCAGTAAGAGATTGATAGAAAATGAAGCATCTTATGTGCAACACATTGTATTGACCTTATAGGCTTATGCTAGAAGATAGCAATGGAAAGTTGAAGATCCACCAAAGCACCCTTATAATGCATGACTACTAAAGAATATGAAAGTATGGATGCTTTTTATACTATTATAATTTTTTTTTATTGCTAAATTATTTGGATGAAGTCATTGAGAAAGTAGGCAGAAAAGGTTTGATTATAACAAATAATGGTTCAATTTATATGAGTTTTAGTAAGAGATTAATAGAAAATGAACATCTTTATTGTACACTATGTGCAACAAATTGTATTGACCTTATAGGCTGATGCTAGAAGATAGCAATGGAAAGTTGAAGACCCACCAAACCACCCTTTCAAAAGCTAAAGATGTGGAGAAGTTTATCTGTGGTCATGGATTATTGATTTGATGACATCATTTACAAAGAAGAAGAGTTTCTTCGTCGAGGAATTTCGCTATTTGTTATGCATATTTTAATCTCCAAAGCACTTACAACAAAAGCAAAAGCAACAATTTATGCATTCATCTGAAATTCGCTGTTCTAGTCAATAGATTAAAATGACAAAAGGAATGAAAGCTTGAACCATTATTATATTTGATTTATATTCTTGGAGACATTGTTCATTGTACTAAAAGCTCTTCTACTCTTGTGAGTCTTCTAAGATCAGTTGTTTGGGAGAAAAAGCCAGCTAGCAATTAAATTTATGAATTGATGGATTCATCAAATAAAGGACGGCTTTCAATTGTTGAAACAATGAAAAGAAACATGGACTTTTTTTGAGAAGATGTGTTGCTGCTTAAACTCTCAGTTTCGCTTTTAAGACAATTTTTCAAATAACAAAGAAGTGAAGCAATGGTTGATTAATTGTGTGGAAAGTATGCTAGATTCTGGAGACTGCCTTAAATTTAATATTCAATTGGACCTATTGGCAGTAAGTGTAATAATTGAAAGTTTTAACTAAGCAAATAATTAAATAAAAAGAGTAGTGATAATAATAATAATAATAAATCGACACATCCCTTCGATTACACCATAACAGTCGTATCCCTCACTCGAAAGAATCAAAACAGAACAGCGAGGAAGAAGAAACGAAGCCGCACAGGAGAAGGAAGAAGGAAGGAGGATTCGTTTCAAGCCCCAATTTGCGACTTGTCTGTGAGTAAAGGAAGAAACCCCTGGAAAAGGAAGCGACAACAATGAAAGAAAAAGCAGTTGTGTTTATCTCTTACCTATTTCAATGCCAAAGCTTGCTCCTCCGGGAGGATTAGGAGTCGTGCCCTCATGCGTGCAAAAGAAGAGGTGGAAGAAGAGGAAGAAGAGGAAGAAAAGTGTCTGCTGCCTTGGCTTCGAACAAGTCCGAATGAGAGGAAGCCAAAGTCGGCGATCCTTGTGAGCGCCGTGTGCAGGTAAGGCTGTCAGAACGGTTCTTAAAAAGCTCAGCTCGCGTACGACTGAAAGGGTCTGTTTGGCATTCTGATGATAATTGCGTAGATTATCACAATAAACCTACTTGATGTTATGTTTGGGACTCTCTAAAGATTATAAGAATAAGTCGGTTTGTTATTTAGGATAATTTATTCAGAATAATTTATTGATGGTTATTGCTGTATGAATGATATTTATGCCTCTGTTTGGCAAAACTATTTGCAACAGAACTAAAATGAGAACAGAAACATATAGTACAGAAGCATATAGTGAAGAAGCATGAACTCATCACAGATCAATTCTAAAAGATGACATATAGTTCTCACACTCACATGAGTATTATAAAAAATAAGAAAAGGATAAAGACAAGTACAACTATAATGAAAAATATTAAAATATTCAATTTCAAACTCTAACTACGTTTGTCCTCAGCTGCACTATCAACTTGGGAAAACATCGGATTCTCATCACTGCTAGCAGTGTAACATATTGGATTGTCGGCCCATTGGAAGAAACTGTAACAAGCTGAAACACCCTTGCGATAACCTTAGAACTGTCTCCCGCTGTTGTCTCGCTGCTATGAGGCTAATGTGATGTGAGTAAGAGAGTTGATAGTCCACAATAACACAAAACAACTTTGTTTGTCGTCGAAATCTTAGAAGACATTTTGTTATAACTGCCCAAAAAAAACAAAAAAATTGAATGTTAGATCTTGAAAAAAAAAATAAAAAAAATACATATCAAAATGAACCTATAATGTACGAAAAAATAATACTTGGTGGTTTAGCTGTCATAGATAGCATCTGTTATAGACTCCCTCAGAGCAGTCTTCTCAGCCACACCCTCAACGTCATGAACTTCAAATTCATTACAGTCAGTCTCATCCTCAGGAACTGAAGGCCCAACTAAAAATTTTGATAGTTCATTATAGACATTCAGCTCAGCGTTATCAGTCATACTAAAGTTCGTATCTGAACGTGAACGATGTCGTCGGATGAAGTTATGAAATGTGATCCCCGATAATTATAGTTGTGCAAAACTTATAAAGTTGACTTCGCTTTGCAACGACGCCAAAAACATGATGTGTTATTTTATGAATAAGAAATTTAAGCAATTTATGTTTGGATTCTCGCAAGTATATGTATCTTTATCAAGTAATACAAGACTTTTTGTTTAAGCTCCAAATATCGATCCTACGATGAAGGTTTAAATTTGAAATGATAAATTAACTAGGAAACTCACAGCAATAAAATAAAAATATTATCACTAATTTCGAATATTTAAGGTACTATCAGAAATAAGTTAATAACTACTAGCAAGCTTGTATTTGAAAGTTAAACAGTAACTACCAAACTATGTTTATGTGATGAACTTATCTAATATGAAAAAGCATATTTCCCACTAAAATGAGTTTTTAGTTAAATGAGATGAGATAAATGATTTAAATATGTATTGTGTCAAATAGAAACAATTTTAATTCTCTACCCTTATTTAGTGTTATAGAGAATCGTTGGCTAATCTCAGGTTTAGTCCTTAAATATGTGGTTCGGCTGGGAGGATAATTTTTAGTCTGTCACCCAAAAATCTCTAATCTACGCCCAACAATGTATATTTTCTTATTTATTTGTACTTAATTCCATGAACAAAAAACTCCTCCATGGGATTAAATGTGATTCTCACTCTGTTGTAGAACTCATACACCATTTTGTCGGATCATATGTTTCACAACATATTTTAATATTTAAATTGGCCAGATAAAAAAGTAAATTTAGAATGGAGTTGAAAAATCATCACAACTTATTTTATATTTTAAGATTGGCACATCCAAATTATCTCTTCATTTCATCATATCTGAGAGTAGGGAGAAAGATAAAGAAAACTACTCAAAATTCATTAGAAAGATACAATAAAACACAAATTTCATGTATAAAAGAAAGTTTATACAACAATAATAAACAAACAATAATTATCTGAAACTTTTTCTCAAAGCAAATCCCTTGTAGCCTCTCTTGGACTATTTCTTTGTTTACAATACTCTTGATTCTCTCTTAGAAGATGTAAGGAAGAAGTAATCTCTCGCTTCTCTCCCTCTCCAACAACTCTTAGAAAAGAATTCACACTTAGACTCACCACAAAACTCAAAGAACTAACTCAAAACTCTAAGGAACTGAAGGACTAATGGACACAAGGTGGGGGGCGGGGGAGGGGGCGCTTTTTCTGATTAATTTTTGCTCTAAATTGTGCCTAATATCGATTTTTAAAGAGATGCATCCAAAAACTCTTCAAAAAGCATCCAAATTCGTTGAATCTTCTAGAAACAGACCTTGCACTGACATTGGCGTCGTCGGCTCCAGTAGCCCATTAATTAATTCCGCGCTTTCTGTCAAATGGCACCGTCAGTGCTAAACATTTCTTCAAAAACTTCATTTTGACTCTAAATTGTATTCATTTTGCTTCTTTTTTGCTTCAAATGCTAAAAATCAACAACCTGTAATAAAACATAAAAAATATATTCTCTTAAAGTGCAATATCACCAAAAATGAGTAAAAAATATATGTCTAAAAATGCATATATTTTTGGTGCATCAAAGTGTCATTGTTGCCACCACAATATGCACCTGCTTTGGAAATGGATATGACGACATATCGCTTAGGATGACCCATTTCTTCTTCCAAACCTCAAACGTTCTTTCAATTACCCTGCATAAAGAGGAGTGACTTTTGTTAAACATTTCTTTCCTGCCACGAATGGTGTCACTTGCTCGCTCAAAATCAGGAATATGGTATCTAGTATCTAGATATGACTTTAGGTAGCCCTCTGCATATGGATATCCAGTATCGTATCCAGCATCAACCAAATAGTATTTCCTTGTTATGGAAGACATTGTTATTTGTAATAAATACATATAACTAGGACTTTTATAAATCAAAACATACCTGAAGGCGGATGAGGAAAACCTTGTGATCTATTCCTAGTTGCATAGGAGAAAATCTGACTGTCATGTACACTTCATTTCCAACCCGTCATAATATATGTGAAACACATGTTGAAGTCACATACTGCCATGACATTTTGAGTGGTTGAACGACTTCGTCCAATGTAAGCGACCTTATCCTGACTAGGTAGTCGGGCATCAACGTGAGTACTGTCAATCGCACCAATGCAGTTCTGTTCTATAGGGTTGGAAAATATTTATTTTTTGGTATTTATGTAAAGAAACCAATAGTTACCTTGAAGTAAGGCATGTAACGAGGATCAGTTGTGATTTGTCCTAGAGTATTAGCAAATGATGGATCCTCTGGCTTGACAATTTTAGTGGCTAAGCCAACAAGTGCCTGTAGATGAATGTTGAAATCTCTCCATAGCACCTCTAATTGATTCATTCTATGACAAAATATATAGTTTTATAGCCAATACCTTCCTTCTTATCGTTCTCGAAGAACCTTGGAGTCTGTGATTTGGAGATAACTCTTGCAGGAGATCCATAAATATAGGTGCAGTCATTTAAAATATGTTGTTGAACCTAATTGGATGTCCATTTATCCCCAGCAAAACTCATTTATCCCCAACAAAACTCTCAACTACCCAGTTATCCCAACAAAACTGGACGTCATACGTGGTATATGAACACCGTTGAATCGGTAATAATCCAACAACAATATGGCAATAGCTGCAGCCCATGTCATTCTCTTACTACGTTCATGCTACGTATCCATTCTGAAGAAAAAAAATATGTTTGTTTTTTCAACAATTACTAATCAATAGAGTGAGTGAGAAATAAACAATGAGAGAGAACACTAAGCCCGTTACAATAAAAATGTATAGAGCTCAACTTATAGGCATGCATTAATCATGTAGAAGTACAAATTAAAAAAAAACATTACTACAAATAACACATGAGTACATAACACAACAAAAGAAAACATAGAAAAAACTTATTCATCCATTAAAACACGCAAATATTTGACGCGCAGTTCTGGTTGCATCACCATGAATATTTCCCTACGGTTTGGATCCTTGAGTTTTTTCATACACATTGCATGAAAGCGCCTATCTACAACTACTTCAGGAAGATACGACAAAGTTTCAACACAATCTAAGGTCATTTTGTTCGGAACTAGAGCAGGCGATCGATCTCAAAAGGCATCTACGAGCCGATCAAATGATGTTTTACAAAAGTTTCCTTTTCTTTTTCCTTCTTCCTAACCTGGGTCTCTTCGACTGTGAGCTTGGCTCCCCCATCTCTCTCTGTTTAATACCATGTATTTCTTCATCATCTATTACCGGCTTTGGTGGGAAGTCATCTAGTATTCCTACAAACCCCGTCTTTGCCGGGCTGAATGCATGCTTTCCCATCACCACACCCACCTTAAACATTATGTCAAGTTTATCTTCAAGATCCGGCTCAATTCAACTCTGCTTGTATTTTTTTGCAATCTGCATTGCCTGTAACACTACATTGAGGATGAAATTTAGGTGGACAATTAGGTAAATCAAAATTTTTTGATATAAA